CCCCCCCCCCCCCTCCCCCACCACGTACAAAGGTCTGTAGATTTTCATAACTTTGCTGAGCTATATCTCTGCACGCTTGAGACGTATCGCTTTCAAATTTGGCAATTTTACAGCCACTGAAATTAAACTTAAATTCATTAAATCAATTTAAACGCTGCATGAAAACGACAGGAAGACTTTCTGTTATTGCTAGATATGTGTGAGAGGTACAAAAATATCTCCTTCCTCTACTACTGTGATGTTATTGAGATGATTGTTCGCACACAAAAAAATAATAACAAAATAGAAATGGAACAAGAAGTAAACAGTTTTTTAACGGCTATGAACCCACAGACACCGAGTTATTTCCACTCCTCTTAAATGGTGCTCATTCTTAACAGATCGTCTTCATTATTAAACTATTACCATAAACTGTCGCTTATACATCTTCTTGAGGGGTTTTAGGAAGGCGTATAAACGGAGGGGCTTTTAATATCCGAGGGGGCTTATTGATGGCATAGAAAAAGCGCTTCGAAATAAGCAGTAGCATTGTTGATCAAAATAGATGTTTTTGCATTTACTGGTCGTTAATTAAGGCTTCAAAACGTCATTCATTCATTTCCCGGTGGGGATTATATTCAGATGTATAGTATTTTTTTCCTGTACAGCCATGGTATGGGCCCATAACTGAAGAGGAGGACTTATGCGGCGTTTACGGTGTTTGCCGGCATTGGTTCAGGCCAACAGACGGGATACGAAAGGGTACCCCGGCTTTTCTGTCGAAATGATGTGTTAAGGGTTAACGGTTTAGTCCTCGTGGGTGGCCTCCCCATCTTCGTATTTATTTTTGCTGTAGCAGACGATACATACTGGAAAACGTGACCCTACTTTTTGAAACGTATACTTGCTGCAAAACAGTAGCGAGATATTTATGTTAGAGGCAGCCAGTCCTCACTGGGCGATAACAAAATTGTGAGTCAAGCCGAGCACGTAACATAATGGAACTTAAGCAACAATGGCGGGAGGAAGAAGGAACTTGCTCTTGTAACTGGAGGGCTTTAGCCCGGTTTTCACAATATGATTTTTTTTAAAGAAAAACGAAAAGATAAAAACTGGCCAAAAACCGGATGATTAAAATAAACTGTTGCATTACCATACATTTTATTTGGAAATCGGGCCTACAATCGCTACGTGTAAACCAGCCTTAAAACAGCAAAACAAAAAATCAAAATGAATTACAACTTTTTTACACATTTTATTACTATTTTGTACTCAACTAAGTCGTGCAATGCGAACACCCAAAGACGAATGACTTTATGGTTTCTCTTTTTATGAAACGTAAACCCATTCCGTATTGTCTGACATGCTTTCCACTCGCTAATCTCACAACCACAAATGCATGTACACTGGTGAATTATTTCGAAGTACAAACGTAACTTGCCTAATGATTTAATAGCAACCACCCGTTTATACGACCACCTCGTTATTACGACCATACTCTCGATACAAACGTAGAAATCGCTGACTTATTTTTTTATTGTTTTGAAAATCGCCCATAAAAGCGACCACCCCATTATTACGGTCAGGATTTTATAGCCCAACAGTGGTCGCATTGACGGGGTTCCACTGTTTGCTTTATGACTCCCGTTTGAGGGTCGACACTGACCTTCACTGAGCTGAAACAAGGCTAATCGAGTAACAATGCGCTTAACATTAACTGCGTTCTGCACTTGAATATAAATATTTTCTACTTTTTACTGTAAAGCCATCGTTAGCCTCTTTAAATAACGCATTAACATGTATATCATAGTCATTAGAATAAAGAACACAAATATTTACGAATAAATTTATAAGAACTTGTTTAAATAATTAACACTGTTTATACTTGTTTCCTTCCGCAAGGCTCTTTTGAAAATCCAAGACACCAAGATGCCGCAAAACAAAGGAAATTATAAATAACCTCATTTTAAATGCATTTATAGACATAATAGTCTGTTCACTTTTAAAAGTTACTTCATTATATAACTAACAGAAAAACATTTAATTATTCAGTCCTCTGCACTATTAGCTTTCCACAGTATCCGCTTTAACCGCAGGGTCTTGTTAAACTGCGACCTTTTCAATCCAATAAATCTTAGAGCATTTCCGCCTAACAATTTACCCTACAACAACAGATGGATTTTGAATTAAAAGGTTTTTATCTGAAGTTAGACTACAGTCGACTTCTGATAACTCGAACCTTCAAGGGAAACCGAAAAACGGTTCGAGTTATCGGGAGTTCGCACTGAGTTCAAAGAGAATAGCCAAGAGTAAGGTAAAAAACAGTTTTTACTGCAGAGTGAACATTTTAATCACATCAGATTTAATTGTAGAAATGTCAAGTGAAAATTAAAAGACGATTCTAGATTATAAATAAGAACGTAACGTAACAAAACATAGAGCGTGCGTTTTACTGTTTTGAGAAGAAAAGCTGCTTCACGTTAGCCTGTGACCATCAACATCAGCCTCCACTAGTAAACTATACTCCTACAACACGTCAAAAGTCAATGTTTCTGACGCCCGTAGACGGCTTTTTTTCCCGACTTTTTAAGGGCTCAAAACATGGTTCGAGTTATCGAGGGTAAAATTATATAGAAAATGACCTGAGGGGAAAAGAAAATTGGTTCGAGTTAGCGGGAGTTCGAGTTATCAAGGTTTGAGTTACCAAGGGTAAAATTACAGTAAATGTATGACGGAAATCCAGTGGAAATCGATTTTGGTTCGAGTTAGAGCGAGGTTCG